AGGCATGACGAAGCGGATATCGTCCTCTTTTGGAAGACCAAACAAAGTAGTTTCGCTTTCTCAACGAAGCACACAGCACACTTCACGACATGGCTGCAGCGTCAACAATACTACAGTGAGAATAAAAGTTACGCCTTCTTTCTTTGCGTGAACATTTGGGCAGTGTTATGCAAATCTTCCCACATAGTGATGTAGACATGTGGGGGCGTGTTAGAACGAGCCGTTTTAGGTAGGTGTGGCTGACTCTTAACTTTTATAAAGAATATCTCTTTGGATTTGAGACTTTAGTCTTTGCAACTTTACAGATCTTCTTTATGCACCAAGAGCTTGTAACACTCCAAAGAGAAAGGAAAAATTGAAATCGCATCATATGACCCCTTTAAACCCATTCAAATGGATTGTCAACGCTGGTTTGTCTGGAGAGCTCCGTGAACCACGTGACCGTGTGGCGACGCCGGCGAGATCAAAGCTTGTCGCAACTCTGTTTTTCAGTGGCTCTGGCTTTAAATGAAGCGCTACATTTTACAATTTACGCCACATTAAGCGCACAAAAACTGTATTTATTGTTTAAATTTCGTATTAAAACTTACCAAATTTGAAAGCTGAGACGGTTTCATATCGCAAGCAGGGTTGCCAATTTGGCGTGAGATTTACATGGGCAGCGTGAGACGGAGCCTGGAAGCGTGTGTCTCACGCCAAATGCGTGAGAGTTGGCAACCCTGCTGTAAATCATTAAGTGCTTTACAGCTTCCCGGCCTATTCAAAGCAGGTAACACTACTATTTACATGTAGTAGTAATGATAATAAGTAAAAGAAATGCAGTAACGTAATACTGGCCTAGTGGTCTTTTCAAATCATTGTTATGTGCAGGGAAAAACACGTGAACTCTAAATGTTCGTGCCGCGCTGTCAGTTCGGTGGCGCTGTCGAGTCAGAGCCGCGCCGATGACAGGTCACCGCGGTGTGAGCTCTGTAACATCGCGCTGTTGTGTCCCACTTTCGGAATTGTACTTGACGACGGTAAAATGTTGTTTATGTCATTAATAGCTTCAGACAACTTTTGAAGAGTTTGTGAGACACACGCCAAATTAAACGGAAGTGTCGACACAGCTTCCGTTTCAAGTGAAATTAGCTCTCATCATCTACTGAAATATTTACTTATTTCAGTTATGCATATGAATGTATTTCACTAAGGTTTATCATTGTTTTTTCATTTCACTAGTGTTTGTAAGAGGTTTTTCAGTAATGCATATGAATGAATTTCACTAAGGTTTATCAATGTTTTTAGTGTTTGTAAGAGGCTTTTCAATAATTATGGCCTATACAGCCCCACGCAACCCTTAAACTGAAAGCAAAAGTGAATGTGAGTGAAAATGGGTGTGTTAAGGGTGATAGATAAACCACGTTTCCTTGTTGACACCGACATAATAGAAATCCTGCTCTCGATAAGGTCGAGTGTTAACGCGATGGAGGTGGACAAATATATCTTGACCGAGGCGCTCTCTGCTATTCTGGGAGTCACGGTGAAATTGCAGTCAGATTGTAAGGGTTTAGATGGAGTCATACAGTTGAATATTACCAGTCTGACAACTCTTGCCCTTCTTGGTTATGAAGCATTTGCGCTTGTGGTCCAACCCGTGTCTTATCTAACAACTTTACTCGCTCGGTGGTTTGTTGGTGATCAGCAAAATTCACAAGAGACCTCGAAGAACGAAAGCGCGAACTCTTCTCTCCGGAAGGAAATATTTGCAATCCCGGATGACTTTTTCGACCCAAAGTTTGACTTTGACTTCACGAACATGTCCGAGTCAAAGTCTGATGAGTGCACACGCGGGGACGAGCCGTACAAGCGGCCCTACGGCTGGATGCGCTTTGCTCTGAAGGTCCGGGACAAATATCCAGACGGGAACGCTTGGCTGGGAACATACGGATGGAGGAGCCGTTCAGTGCCCGGCGAGTGGCCCGTCTCCTACCACGGAACCGATTTAAAGGGGGCCGAGGGCATCGTACAGACTCACTTCAAGGCGGGAGGCCGTCAGGCGTACGGAAGAGGGGTTTATTCATCTCCAGACATCAACGTGGCAGAAGATTACGCGACAAGCAAGAAATTCACGTCGCAAAAGAATGGAAAGACTTACAAAGTCATCATGCAGAACAGAGTCAACCCCAATAAGAGGAAAATCATCAAGGAGAAGAAATTTTGGTTGGTCCCTATACCAGAAGGGACATCTGCTGATAAAGAGAAAGAAATCGTGGAGAGCTCAATCCGCCCATATGGCCTTCTGCTTAAAGAGGTGTAGGAAGCTGAACATGCCTGTTGAAATTGCTCTCAGAATTGAGCTTACTCTTCAACAAATATTTCCACTTTAAAATATTGAAAAGACTTTGACTTTTGGCTAATGATATAGTTAATTACCACCTGAAAAGCTAAATCAAAACTTGTATTAATCTATTGGTGAATTCTTTAGGCCTACCTTTTCTGTTCTCTGCCTTTTTAGTGTAGCCTATGTCAAGAATTTTATTTATTTTTTTTTTTTTTTTATTTTTAGTCATTTAGCAGACGCTTTTATCCAAAGCGACTTACAAATAAAAGAAATGTGAAATCGATAAGCTCGCAGAAGAATACATTAGAAACGTCCGGAACCTGGCTCCGGATCAGAGAGTGGAGCACCTGCAGAAGATCCAGAACGGATTCAGCAAATGCAAAGAATACAGCGACAACAAAGTGCAGCTCGCCATGCAGACGTACGAAATGGTCAGTAAGCCAGTTTAGATGAGAGTGACTTTTAAAACCAAACCTGGAAATATTATTTACCTTTACTTTACTTTTAGTCATTCAGCAGACGCTTTTATCCGAAGCGACTTACAAATAAGAAAAAGTTATTAAAACTAAAAGCTAAAACTCTATAAATATTATATATATATACACATTTAAGAAAATAAAATAAATTTCATAAAAATGACAAATGCATACAACAACATTTCAAAACTAAACATTTAAATGAAAACAAAAAAATAAAGCT